GTAGTAGTAGTAGTAGCAGCAGCAGCAGCAGTAGTAGTAGTACTTGGCTGGCTGATGCGCCTGCACCAGGACGATGGTCCGCCCAGTTCATTCCCCTGACAAACGTGTCCTGCCGAGGGCATGCACTCCCGGTCAAAGAAGAACATTTGGACTGCTCCTCCCCTACCAAGAACTATGTGGGTATCAAACATGCATTTCTTGAGTTCAAGATATTTTAGACAAAAAAGCTGGACTCAGGGAATGTCTTTTTGTATGGCTACAGATGGGTACAGTGACGGCTGCGCTATTGATCTAACAAGATTGCGCCTGCTGGCCTGCTGGACTGCCCCGTGGCACCAGCCACATGCATCAAACACGACGCGCGTGCCTCCCGTGGACACACCCATGTGGCTGTACGAAATCAAAGATTTTACTCACTTCACACAAGCAAAACTCCAACTGCGAGTGCGAGAACTTGAGTATCTCGTCAGCCGTTTTGATCAGCGCGGCGATCAACTTCTTATTCTGCTTGACAGTGGGCTGGATGCCTGCAAGCCGGTCCTAAGCAAACGCCAGATGAAAAGATTGCGTTTTGCAGCCCCAAAACATGTTCAGTCAAGCTGTCAGTTCTTATGGATAAAAACAAATGACAGGCAAAGAAAGCAAAGCTGGAACTAATTCAGAGTAAAGCTACTCTCCTGCTGGATGAGCCGCCTGAAGCGCTTCATGTGTAGAGGAGACTGGTCATAGTTACACATAACATCAACCCATGCCTGCGAGCCAGCATGCCTGCCTTTCCATTCTCCGGCTAGCAAATTGGCGCCCATGCAGGCGCCAGGACCCATCAATGCTCCCGGCTCCTTGACCCATCCTGGAAGCCCCTGTCGGTGGGACGCTTGCTTGTGATGTAGCTCAAGTAGCGAAAAAGTATTCCGCCCTAGCAGCACGGACAGCCTGCTTGCGCAAGCCAGTGCCAGCGTCCGCCTGGAGACTGCTGCGCGGCCGGGACCACCTTTGATGGCGCCCTCCCTTTGCTTCAGGTGGAATTGCCAAACTTTCTTCTTGCGGGCCTCAACCAACTTGGCGGTGGCATTGTTGTGGGCCCTTTGGTCAAAGGACTCGGTGAAGAGGTCTGCAAGCCTGCCTGGCCTGTAAGTGTGGCCATCGGAGCTTCTCTTAAAGATGTGAAGAGGCTGCAGAATGTCTTCTTTACAGCTGAATTTCCAGGGGCCATTGGTGTTCTTTGCGCAGAAAGCTTTTGTTTGAGGTGAACCAATTCCTAAGAGGAATCATTATATGTGTGTATATCCAAGCAGACATCAGTGACATCGTGTGGATGCCAAGTTTGCAAAGTTTGATCCCGCTTTGCTACGACAGCGCCGAAAACAGAGAGGCATTGGAAACAGAGCCCTAACAACTAGCTATTTATCAAAACAGCGATTTTTTCTGGTCGTTCAAGCAATCGGTCGCCAGGGTCGGTCACCAGAGAGGTCTAGGGAAGGCAACGGAAAAGAAACCAAACCAACCCCACAGGATCGGTCGTCAGAATCGGTCGCCTCTTCTTCCTCCTCTTCGCCTTCTTCTCCCTCTTCTTCTTCCTCTCCCTCCTCCTCTTCTTCTTCCCCCTCTTCTTCTTCCCCCTCTTCTTCTTCCTCTCCCTCCTCTTCTTCCTCTCCCTCCTCTTCTTCCTCCTCTGAAAACAAACCAAACCAATCACCCCGGATCGATCGCCAGGATCGGTCACTAGTGATGCTATAGTTCCTAGTCGCTGATCCGGAGGGGGGTGTTGGTCACTGATCCGGGAAAGTTGGTCGCTGATCTGAGAAAATTGGTCGCTGATCCGGGAAAATTGGTCGCTGATCCGGGAAAAGTGGTCGCTGACCCAGCAGTCGCTGATCCTGGTCGCTGATCCGGACCCTCAGTCGCTGATCCGACGTTTATCCTAGGTTGGAGGCCATCGCTATTTTTGCTTTTGCTTCCTTTTGTTTCCTTTGACAGCAAGCCTTCAGGATGCTTCACGGATTGTGTTGTTGGTCTCCCTTCTTGCTGCTTCCAGGCCGAGATACTCTCTGCTGAATCGTGCTGCAAATGTACGTGACCTTCACTGTCTGTGTGTGCAGCTACCTCATCTTGAAGATCTTCTTCAAGCCTTGCCAACTTCAGTGTCTCGCGCTCTGGCTCAAAAATTTTCACGTTCGGGTTCTGGTCGTCGTCGGTGAGCAAATACGTGGTACATGGCGGAGGATAGAATTTAAAGGCACCTTGCAGCAAAAAGCCTGAGACCTGTGGATATGCTGATGCAGCCACAATGATCTTCCAGAGTTTACCTAGGCTCGTCGCCATAGGTCACATGCAAATGTGTTTCTTTCCTTTGCTCGTAGTAACAAGTGCATCGCTAGTAGTAACAAGTGCCTTACTACTAGTAACAAGAAGCTTGTAAATATAATTCTATTTAGGGAGGTAGGCCACTAGAGGTAGGTAGCTAGTAGTAGCTAGGTAGCTAGTAGCTTAAGTAGCTACTAGTATGAACTCAGGATAGCTCACGCTAATGATTTGGTTCCTAGATGTTTAGGGAAACTTAACATGTATGATGTGGTAACTTCAGTAATATATTGAATCGACTGCCACTGCCTGTAAGTAACTAGTCAACTAGCTCCATCATATAATGCTCTATCTTTCTTGGACTGGGTGTTTCGGATATGTGTTTGTCTTTCGCGAACGTTTGAGAATCTTTCACAAGATATGCTGCGCGCACCTCAGAGCCGCTACTATCCACCATACTGTCCACTACCAGGTGCTACACTCTAGACTCAAGCAGTTCCAAGGAACACTGCACAAACACATGTAAAGGTCGTTTAGCTGATGCATTATATATATATATTTATATATGATTAAACTCGTCTTTTGCAAATCTTCCGCTGCACTGATGTTTGGCTACTTGAAGCATGTGCAAATTTGAACGTCACATGACATGGAAACTCGATTACTAAGTCCGAGACTGTGGGTTTCGGATTTGACTCAAATATCTTGTAAAGCATGAACACATGATCCAGTAGTCAAGCTGCAACGATGAACCCATTTTGAAGTTCGTCCATGTTCGCAGCTCCAGCAAATGACTCGTTTAATCACTTCTAAATATGAGGTGCCTGATGCAAAAAGCGCTTCATGCGTTTGTTCTTTTCTGAACCTGAAAATACATAAGCTTCAAGCTTGATGTGTTTGATTCTTTAAAAAAGCAGGCCTAATAGCTTCTTGCTACTACTAGTAAGGCACCTGTTACTACTAGCGTGGCACTTGTTATTAGTAGCGATGCCCTTTGCTCCTAGTATAGCGTCCTGGCCTAACATTTGATCAAAAGTCAGCTGAAAACCTTCACCGCAAGAGACTTGTGGCAAATCCAAAACGAAGTCCATGAACTCCAACCTCAGTCACTCCATCGCGGATCTAGGTTTGCCGTATCAAGCAGCTTTTAAAAAAAGTGTTTCAATTAGTTTCACAAAGACTAAGAAAACGAACTGAGCAAATCTTCACAAGTTGCAACCTCGCGGCATAGCACTGAGCCCCTCTTCTGTCACATAGCCATCGTCGGTCGCACTGATTCGCAACTCTAGTCTTGGACCTAGAGTCTCATCATCGGACTCCAATTGGTTCAACTTCAATGTTGCAAATCCCACGTTCCTTGGTCCAACATGTTTGGAAACAAAAACTTGGAATCAAAGAAAAGGAACCAGTGTGAACCTTTTTTGATACAAATCTCAAAATGTCTAAAAAATCCCATACGGAAATCGCTTGGCCACTGGAAAACCATCATAACCTGTCTTACCATATCGTACCTGTACCTCTCCTCACCGGTGCAAGAAAATCAACAAAAACAAGAATCAACGGCAATGGAAGTTTTTGTGTCTTCGGCGCTGGGACAGTGGTCTTTTTCGCTTCCACGCGCTGCCGCGGGAACTTGAAGCAAGCGAAGCAGCCAGAACAACTGGCCATGGCATGAGGTTTACAGTAAGTGTAACAGTATGTAACAGTAACAATAAGTACCAATAGAGTTGGAAGAATTTGGTTTTCACATGTTGCAAAGAACAAATAAGGAGTTAATTTGCATATGTCAGGTCAACTTCTCCATGCGAAGAAAATGGTATTGAGATGTATTGAGACATGCTGCGATTCATTGTTCGACAATGCTCTTCATGTGGAGGGGAACCAATGAGCCAAATGAGCATTTCTCCCACGAAGAGTGCCAACATGGTCCGGTCGAATGCTCATGGTTCAGGCCGTCGGCGGAGGTTTGGGTTTCCCGATTCTCGGGTCTCAGGTCTCGACTCTCGACTCTGGCTACTAGGAACAAGTGCATCGCTTCTAGTAACAAGTGCCTAACTACTAGTAACAAGAAGCTATTAGAAACAATAAATAGATTTTTTTTGATTCTTATCCCACTTATCCCTGTCACTTTGGACCTTCCTCTGATCGATGAGTTGAAGCAGCAGCAGCAGTAGGAGTAGGAGTAGTAGAAGTGGTAGTGGTAGGAGTAGTAGTAGTAGTAGCAGTAGCAGCAGTAATACTAGTAGTAGTCATTACAGTAAATGTTGTTGTTGTCAGTGGTTGTTTGTTGGTTGTTTGCTTGTTTGTTCGTTGTTGTTTGTTGGTTGGTTGGTTGGTTGTTTGTTCGTTGGTTTGCTTGCTTGTTTGCTTTCTTGCTTGTTTGGTTGGTTGGTTGGTTGGTGCTGTTGTCTGTTTGTTCTTGAAAGCGTGCTAAACTCTAAACCTCTTGTCGGAGGATGATGGGTTTGCCTTTCTTTGAGCTGCACTTGATCATGCCTGGTGCACTTAGGGACAAACAATTGGACCAAACTGTTGATTATTTCTGTTGCAGTTTGTGCTATTCTACATTGCAGTCTTGAACCCTTGGGCTAATATCTCGAATTTTATTCCGAAATCACTTAATGAATCAAGACGTTGAATCTATGACTCCAACCTAGTTTGCACCTTGTCTCAAATACAGTAGTTTAAACACATGAGAATCAGTTCGCTCTTTTCTCAACTCACTCGCTCCCTGTACAGTTCTCAAGCTGCACCTGGCAATTCCGTGCTAAACCCACGTGAGATGTACCTTTGATGCTGACTGTTAGCTCGGTTTCACGTGCCTGAGAATTCGAAAACTGGAGGCCCAAGATCTTCGGCCTGGTATCGTAAAAGGCAATGTGTCAAAGAAGAAAGCCTAATAGCAATGGCCTCCAACCTAATGGCGATGGCCTCCAACCTAGTAGAGATGGCCTCCAACCTAGTAGCGATGGCCTCCAACCTAATGGCGATGGCCTCCAACCTAGTAGAGATGGCCTCCAACCTATTAGTGATGGCCTCCCACCTAGTAGAGATGGCCTCCACTAAGTTTTAGGCCAAGAAATTACAGTATGTAACAACTTCGACAAAAAGAAACTCTTGCTCACAATGTAACTTCGGCTTGCCTTCACATACGAAGCAAATACCACAGGGAGAAGAGGATAAACAACGTCAGGGCCATCCTGAGAGGCTTGTGAAAGAAGAAAAATATTCCACAAAAAATGATGGTAAAGGCTCCCTGAAAGAGGGCCTTGCCTTCCTTTGTTCATCTCTGTTTTCTTTTACAATTTGCTTCCTTTTGCGTCTCTGTTCGTCAAACAGTCGCAGTTCCTTTTGAAACTCGAAATGCTGAGGCTACTGGCCCTCCATAAACGAGCCATTTGTCACCTGTCTGTCTCCGGTCAATGACATTCACGAGGCTCTGAGAGACCTTTGTTGCAATCTGCAAGAACTCTCCAGATATGCAGTCTTGAGTAGTACTGAAGTGTTTGTCACAAAAGTATTCAAATACTTGTTGCAAGAGTCGGTTGTCCAGCTAAGTAGAGTACACCTATGCTGTTCGCTGCATCCAGCAGCTTGCGGCGGGCATTCTTCAGGACCTTGTTCTGGTTGACCTCAGCAGCACTAATAGTTCGTCACTTCGAGCACTGAGATTGTTAAGTTTCTCCAAACATCTAGGAAGCAAATTACTTACCCCCTGCTACTAGCTTAGCTAGCTACTTGCAGGCCACTTAGTCACAAGTCACGGCCTGCCCTTCATCCCCATATATGCACTGAGCGCTGGACCAAATTGCCCAGAATTGAGCCCGCTTGGTCCAAGACTTCGTCCAGGGCAGAAGCCGAGTCTCGCAAAGACTTGTTCTCCTTTGCCAAGCCCTGAGTCAGAAGTTTTTTGAGGCTGCAATGTTAATGTTAGCTCCTTTTTGTGTTTCTTTGGAAGCCTTTCTTGGCTTTGCCAGGTTGCTCCCTGTGGAGTTTTAGGAAGGTTCCCAGCAGTGTAGTCCCCTCTAAGGAGGGTGCAGTTTCTCAGTGGTGACGAGGGTCATCCCCTACCCTAAGCCCTGCCCTAAGTTGCTACTAGCAATGGGCTCCACCCTACTAGCGATGGCCTCCAACCTACTAGGAAGTGGTGACGAGTTGCTTGGTCGGCTGATTGTTTTTTTGGGTTTGGTTGACGCGGCTTGGCTTGAAACTGGAGGGGGGTGGGGGATGGGTGGGGGGATGGTGCAGCGCCTCACCCCAAGAGCAAACCAAGTGCCAAGCCAACAAAAGCCAACGAAATCCACAAGAACTAAAGAGCAATTAAGAAACAAGCCAACCCGCAACCCAGCGTCAGCCCAAAGTCACACAAGCCACCAAAAGCCAAAGGCCATCAAAAGGCAAATTCATCGAAAAAGAAACAAATGCCAACAGAAGAAGCGATCCAAACCTAGCCATACAAATCCAACCAACTTCATGAGAACCACCAAAAGCAACCAAACCAACCCAAAGCCACCAAAAGCCAAACGAATGCCGCAGAAGCCACCGAAGTCAGAAACTACCAAAAAACACACAAGCAAAAAATACACAGAAGCCACACAAGCCATAGAATCCATAGAAGCCACCGAAGCCAAAAGCCAACTCCACAAAAGCCACAAAGCCACAGGTCGAACAAAAACAAGTGAAAAAATGAATTAGAAACAAGTGCCTTACTAAACTAGTAGTAACAAGTGCCTTACTAGTAGTAACAAAAAGCTATTAGAAACAAGAAGCTTGTACAAAAAGACCAGACTTGGCCTTGAACAAACAAGAGACCAAGTGGAAGAGACTTGTCTTTTTCAGAAGTCCCTCCAGACATTCGGCTGGAATGCTTCCAACCCGGCTGTTAACAAGCCTGCATCTGGTCATCTGGCCCATCTCTCTTCTTTCGATCTCCCAAGAGCTTCTTTCGATTCTCTTCCTCCTTCTTCACCTGATTCTATCGCACAAGCGATCACAAAAAGCACCTTGCTACCATTCCAAAGAGTTGGGTATCCGGCCCGGTAGAAAGTCCCAAGCTGCTTGTCTACAGCGCTTTGAATCATTGACCTACATCCGTCGCTGAAACACCAAAGGACACTTTACATCATGTTACGCATGTGGATCACTTTACGGGCAGCGGCAATGCGTAGCAGTGCACAGAAGTCCAAGGATGTCACACATCCTCCTCCAAGCGGTTCATCTTCCGCTCCCACGACATTCTGCCTTTTTCGGGCATGGCCTCAACCTGAGAAAGTTGAAAGAGAGAGAGAGAGAGAGATCTTCGAAAGAAAGACGAGAACGAGCGATTCATAAAGCCTAGGTTAAGTAAGCTAATAAAGTAAAGCACAAACAAAGACTAAAGATAAAGAAATAGAGGAAGTTACTGAGTAGGTTAAGTAAGACGAGAATGACAGGCCAGTAATTTCCAGCCTTCTCATTCCCTCTCGTTTGTCATCCAAGACCAAAGGCGGCCATATCAGCAATAAACCAAAATTGTTGATTAAATTGCAGTGTACAACTTTTCTCTTTGCTGTAGGCCTTTTTGTGGTCTTGAAGAGTACCTAATACCTTCAGAGTTTCACAATGTTATACCCATCGGATTGTGAAGCAGACCTCCTCTCTGATCCTTTCAGACGTATTCGTCAGATCTGCAAACAGGGCTGCCAAGCCTCGTGCATGTGAGGTGAAAGAATCAATGACAAACTCAAACTGTGCATCCCAACCATCTCAGTTTGTCTGTTTCTGTATGCTCTCTCCGTGCAAAACGATCTCATATTGTTTTTGAGGAGGTTGCGCTGCTGCATGGCCACATCAGAGCCCTGTTGCCCCTCCAAATGGAAACGAATCATCTCGGCATCTGCATGACATAATATACGGCTGTCCTTTGGAGCAGCCATGGCTTCCAACGCAGAGTCCACGTCCCTTTTCAGCCTTAGAAACTGTTGCTTTTTCCGGTTTATACTCAACAAAGCTGAACGTGAAACACCCGAGGAATCCTTGAGGCATGAATTCTTTGTTCTTCACCTTTACAACATTCAGTCACCTTAGTGGCAGACCCATCGGCTTTGCGAAACAAAGGACCCAAATCAGCCTTGCAGGTAACTTGGCAACTTGCACGTCTCAAAATGCAAACAGTATCCTTCACAGACTCCAAGAGAAAAACCGCTATAGACATGGACAAAACATGCAAATCAATCATGCCCGAAGCTCCATGGCTGGCAAAACCTTCCAAATCCCGCGGATGCTAGAAGCTGAGATGTCTTGAAACGTTGTTTTGCTGGCAAGTCTTCTTGACATCGGAAACAACAACTCGGTTCAGCTTGTTGTGCCCCAACTGAATTGGTACTCAAGACTCAAAACAAAACGTAGCTTGTCAAATTGAAGGCACTGTCTTGAGCCAAGTGCACGCGATTTGTCTGTCCTATTTACCCTCCAGACTTTGACCACCTCAGATGCCGCAGCCTGAATTCAGTTATAGTTTGTCCTGAGTCTCCGCATCCGGCAGAAGTACGGTATGCATGGCGGCAAGTACGTCTCCTAACCTTCAGGCATCTCGTTACCGGTGAACCGGTTCGACCGGCAGTACTTCATTCATGTCCAAGACAAGTTTCACCCTACTCGGCCATGAAAAACCTGATATGCAAAACAGTCAAACTGTACGATCTCAGCCTTCCACGACTTTCTCTTTCAACTTTTGAAACGAAACGATGACGATTTCCCAGCTCAGGTGCTGTGGAAGAAACGAACATGAAGCATTCTTTGATGCAGAATCATCAGCTTTTGCTGAGACACAGTTGCACGATCCATCATGTTTCATCAGTCCCGCCTGCCGTGTCAACATGTCAGAAATCAAGTTTTCCATGGTAAAGATGGCCGAGGACAATTCATACCGTGGTTGCTTTGAACTCGTGTTGTGTGATGATTGTGCGCATCCAAACGGATTCGATTGTCCTGTGTTTTCCGAACATTCAAAGTCAAGCTACTAGGAGCAAAGGGCATCGCTACTAGGAGCAAGGACGCTACTAGGGGCTCCTTGCCTTGCTACTAGTAACAAGAAGCTACTAGTAACAAAAGGTTTGACAATCAATGCCAGAGGACTTGTCACGCTGTGGCGAGCGTGTCGGTGACTCCAAAGGTGTCCGCGGTGAGCGGGGCGTGCCACCGGGCAAACTTGAGGAATTGAGCTCCGAGACCTCACAAACTTGAGGAGCAGCTGAGAAAAAAACGGAGAGAACACTGAAAAAAACAGCATTCCAATATTCCAACCTACTAGCGATGGAACAAATAGTAAGGAATCACAAATGGCACGCACTAACGCAGAAACGGTGCGAAGAAAAAAAGCGGCGCGATATGGCGCGATGCCTTGCTGTCGAGTTTAAAAGCAAATGCGAATTCAGGGCAGCTAAATCCAAGATTGCAGGCTTTACATGCCTGCCGCCACCGGTGGCAAATCATTGAACCAAGAGCTCAACGTGGCTTACACCAGCAAAACAATGACAAGAGCGGCTGCAATGAAGAAGCCCCCAAGCTTGCACAGCTGGGTACTGACTCCAACGATGGTGCACAGCTGAGATGGAAGGAAATGCTCGTCGTATCGCTGGCTGCACTTGCACCCAGCCAATTCAAAGTCTATGAGCGTCAAATCCGTAGATGCCCATGATCTATCAGGCCCGCTGCAAGACAGGCTATTTGCGATCTCACTATTTGCTACGTTCTGTTCCGAACGCCGTCTTTGCCACATAAGCCTTGAATCTTCTAGAGAGCGTGAGTGCAAGGCTAGCAAAGGAGAAGTATACTCATTAGCAACACTTCCCACGTGATCGCGCACGCAACGTGGCTAGCATTGGCTGTTTCGTGAGCCGCAGCCCTGCGATGCTGGTCTACTGGAGGGAAAGCTTGGACTGTCTTCAAGAGACTGCTGCAGTACACAAGTTGCATGAATAGCAGATCTGCTCGCATACCCTTTGGTAACAAGTGCAGCGTTCTTCCCTCTTTGAGTGCCAAATATTCAGGCACAACTGCCTGGTCGCTCCTGACTTCTGCAAACTCTGCGACCATGCATTCATTTGCGCGCTCCCGATTTCTTTGGCGCAAACACACTGCTTCTTAGCCACCCACATCAACATGATTACACTGTGGCCTCCAGCTTGCAAGATTGCTGCCAAGGCTTCGCTTCATTCATGATGCTTCATACTCCACAAGCATTTGACCGAGAACAGGCTGTTTGAATGGGTGCGGCCACCGAACTTGAAGGCACGTCCGAAAGCAAATCCAGAAGCTTGTGTTAGCCGCTGTTAGCCATGATGTCTCGCTGAAAAGGGATTCGATAATTCAATCTGCGTTCTTGTTCCTAGTAGTAAGGCCAAGAGCCCCGAGTAGCTTCCTTACTCCTAGTAGCGATGCCCTTTGCTCCTAGTAGCGTTCTTGTTCCTAGTGAGTTTTCCAATCGGAATGGTAGGTCCTGTGGGGTTCATGTTCTCCACACACTCGTTGATGCTAGCGTTTCGGGCATGGCATGCACCATAGATTTATAGGAAGAGTTCTTATAGTTGAAAGTCGCGGTCATGCTGTTTTAGCATTCCAAATCTGTGGTCCTTTGCACGACAAAGCAAGGTCGCCTTGAAGTACTCCCCACGCGAGAGAAACTGGTTGTGCAACCACCACGCAGTGCCAATCTGAAGAAGCATAAGACTCGTATTCAATATTGGAGGTCGCCAGTACCTAAGAGGCAAGGGGCATGCAATGGCAATAGGCGTTGGTGCACGGTGCAACAGACATGGAGCGCACGGTGCAAATACCGAAACCAGCATCACCAAAAACGGTGGCCCAATGAAATACAAAGCGCCTCATTCGAAGCAGGCGTAAAAAGTGCAAACTGCACTCCAAATCCTCTGAGTTGCGCGCCCACGAAAGCAAACATGGAAAGCAGCCCGCGAATCCTTGTATGGGTCAATCCAAAATACAAGGCCAACTGCTGCTTATTAGAGAGCACTCTGCTGCGGTGCCTGTAAGGTGCGCCAGTCATGGTGGACTTCAAGCACCACAGAAACACGGCCTGGGAGAATGAGCTCAGCCTGTTGCAGAACTTCAAAATCTTCTGTGTTTTTACTTCCCTTGGGATGGTACAAAGGAGGCTAGTCGCAAGGCCTGGCAAAGGAAAACCGATCTGACACCTACTGTGACACATGTCACACTGCAACTGTCGATTGGAAGGAGATTTACGTATCCCTCAACATGCCGGGCAGAACAAGAAGTGTCTTCCCGGCGAGACCCTCATAGTCATGAAACTTGTCAGCGGAGTCCTGGGAGCTCGTCAATCCCCTTTCGGAAGCATGCTTGGCTTGTTTATCGCGTTTTCCGAGCACCTCAGCTTTGATAAGCAGGACCAAAATGATGTGCACCACAGCGCTTATTCCAAAAGTCAGCAGCACCTTACAAGCTTTGAATGCCTTGCGTTTTGTTTTCAGAACGTGTTCCCCCGAAGAAAAAATCGCTTTCAATTCGTCTTCATCCCACTAGTAGCTACTAGCCTTGCTACTAGCCTTCACGGCAAACCTGTTTTTTCCTCCACTGCCTTTAGAAAGAAAGAGCTACGGCTGTGTATGGCTCAAATTACCCACGTTTAGCAAGCGTCGTACTATGTCCGAGAGACGGTTGCTGGATCCACATCCACTGGAATCAAGGTGTAGCCGTACCTTTGAGACTTCAGTTGACTTCCATTCTGATACTCTCTTAAAAAAAAAAAAAACTATAGATATATATATATATATACTGTATCTTTTTGAGTTACTAATAGCAATGGCCTCCAACCTAATGTGCTCTCTTTTTCTCTTCCTTTTGGAGGTCTTTGAGACTTGAAAGCCTTGGCGTCTTTGAAACGAAAGCAGTGACACTGACAAATCTCCAAGGCACCCAATGAGAAGGAGGAGTGCAGACTGCACAAGCTGAGACAAAATAAACCTCAACTCATTGCGTTAAGCAAAACAACAAGCTATCACAAGCTGTCGTCCTCTAAGGCTAGCACGAGATTTCCGCCAGGATCTCAAATGGTCTCACTCCAGTCCCATTATAGCTATACCTCTGATCGAAACGGTGGGAACCTCTGATCCAAACTGGCATCACCCCGGCACCTCCACAAGTGCAAAGCATGCAGCGACCTTAGGAAAATGTGACCAAAGCGACCAAGCAAAACAAAAGAGCAAAAAAAAAAACATACAAAGATTCGAAGAAGAACGATTTGGCAAATGGTTTGATTTCCGTCCATTGGGCACTGGGCTGCGCCAAAAGCTGCATAGCAACCACGACAACCAATGCCCAGATCACCTGCAGAACTAGCTATGTCTTCCAATGAATTGGTTTCATGCAACAGTGAAAATCATGGACATTTGTCTACCTAAATCTGAGAACCTGAGCAAGTAAGAAGCCAGAAAGAATTCTGTGGAGTCTTGACATGCTGTTTCAAGTTGGCGCAGGCACAGGAGGCATCTCCAGAAGTTTCGTGGAGGGATCGTCTTTTACATCCGACGCAAAGTGATTGTCAAAGAATTCTGAGCTTTCATTGCATGGAATCAGGCTTAATGACAAACCAACATCAGGAGCTTCGTAGGAAGGTTCAATATTCTCGGAAAATCTGCAAGCTCTCGTGCATGTTCTGGGTGGTCAACTAAACCAGCAACCATTACAACTGCAACTGTGAAATTCGTTGAAATGCCTGTCAGGATTTCCACTACTGGACCTTAATACATTCTGAAGAGCTTCTCTCAATTCCATGGTGGAGAAAGGTAGAGTTGCGAAGTATGACCTTCAATGCAAGAAGTTAATATGGGGATGGTGTTTGCACGTGCTTCTTTGTGCGAAACCCATGCAAGGCATAAGGCATATTTCTCACAACCTCAACAACCTGAACATTGAGAGCCAAAGGTCACCTACTTGTGGCAAAGAAGAATAACTTCGGCCTTGCACGATGCCAAGATCTTGTCAAAGGCTTTCAAGGTTGCTTGCTTGGACGTGAGCTCTTTGGCGTATCCACAAAGGGTGAGGTGTCTTTCCATCGCTATTGGGTTGGAGGCCATCGCTACTACTATTAAGAAGCTACTAGTAGCAAGAAGCTACTAGGAAAACAGCTGAAGCACTGTGGTGCTTGAACAGTTCAGAGGTCTTGTGAACTGAGGTCTTCCATTTCCGCTCTCCTTGTGGGTTCACAGAACAAAGTTCAGTTACGGTTTGTCTTTGTGAAATCTCAGAGCATCCATTCCGAAGAAATCTAATCTTC